TGATTAAGTTATGGCCAAACCATAAAGTTGTTTACTTAACTACTGTAGCAAATCCATGACCTCATCAGTATGGGTACTGCCAATAGAAACCCATCGATGTTTTCTCATTCTGTGTGATTCTTGTCTGTGTCTTTACACAAAATTTTCATAAAGCATTTGTTCAATGCAGTGTGTATATATATATGTTCCTCCATGATATTTAATATTTCATAGATACCACTGCACTATTTGGCTATCTACCAGTTATTCTTTGCTCTTGTTATATGGTTGGCCTACATCTATTTTCTAATAAAAGCTCATAATAATAGCTAGCATTTACATAGCACTTTAAGTTTTACAAAGTGCTTCACAGATATTATTTCATTTTATTCTCACAACAACGCTGAGAAGTAGGTGCTATCATTTTTGTTTCCCACATTTTACATATGAGGAAAGACAAAGGTCAAGTGATTTGCCCAGGGCCATACAGATAATAAAAGTCTTAAGTTGGATTTGAAATTGAGCCTTTCTGACTTCAGGTTAAGTGCTCTCTGTTACCTAGCTGCTTCTAGTCATTCATGTCCTTGAGCATGTTTTATATCACTTCTCAGAAACCATCAGTGGTAATATTGGGCAGCCTCTTGGAGTAAATAGGCTATAACAGATTACTTGATATTATGATCAATGTGCCAGCTCAATTTAGAGTGGGAAATTTGCTGTGCTAAAGGATTCATCTATAGCTTAGCCCTCTAGAAATGCCTCGCCATAGAGACCAGGTAGGCAAAAGACAAGACTGCTCCAGCTAGATTGGAATACTTTAATCAAAGAAGTTGTCTTGGGGGGGTTCAACTTTCCTAGCCTACCTTTCACTATTTATTCATTTCCTGATTGATGAGTGATATTACATGCCATCTTGAAGAAATTGCCCTATGAGTCTGAGCTGACATCCTGGCAACTAAAAGTAGAATCCTTTAGGGCAAAATCTTGGCTGGCTATAGGAAATATGGTTCAAGAAGAACTATGTTTTAATGGTTACAACCTTCTTACCTCTAAAGCATGGTGCAGTAGAAAAAAAAAGTACTGACTTTGGAGTCAGAGGACCTGGGTTCAAATTTCACCTCTGATGCTTAACTTCCTATGTGATTCTGAGCAAATCACTTAGCTTCCCTCGGTCTCAGTTTCCTCATATGTAAAATTAGGAGAATTTGATCTCTTCCAACTTTACATACGTGATCATCTGACCCTTACCATGTGTGCTGAAATTTAGGTCTGACCCATGCAGGTTAGACTTAGTGGTCTTTATGTTGACTAGAGAAGGGGAAAAGAAGAGAGAACCTAATGGGGGATTTAAAATGCTTTTTGTTTTCTGTAACTAATGAGTCCTTTTCTTCAGCTAGAGAAAGCCACATGCCTTTTAGCTCTGGGTTTTTTCTCTGGTTGTCCCCCATGCCTGGAATGCTCTCCCTCCTCCCCTCTGCCTACTAACCTCCCTGGTTTCCTTTAAAAAGTCCCAACTAGCATCTTACCTTCTACACGAAGCCTTCTCCAACCCTTCTTAATCCTTCAGTTGTACGTAATGAATTTGCAGTTTCATGTACAATCATCTTGTTTTCTATTCTACTATGTTATGGAAATGCTTTCTTAAATTCAGAATAAAATAAGAAAATAATTCCTATTTATTTTGTATATAGGTTATTTTGTATATATATTTGTTTGCATATTGTCTCCCCCATTAGACTGTAAACTCCTTGGGGGCAGACTCTTCCTTTTACCTCTTTTTTTTTTATCCCTAGCACTTAGCACAGTTCCTGGCACATAGTAGGTACTTAATAAATATTTATTGGTTGATCAGTATCAAAAGATTTAAGGTTAACTTGGGATACAAAGATGAGCCATGAATAGAAACTAAAGATAAACTTAAAGTGTTTTTTGTATTCCATGAAAAGCTATGCTACAAAGCTATTATTATGTACAAACTTTTTGGAACACAATCTGTCAGCATGCCATCAAGGTTACAAAACCAACCATATACTTCAATCCAGTGATTCCATGACTAGAATTATATTAGAAAGGAGAAAAATATCTTATGTGTATAACATTATTCCTAATGGTATTATATGTAAAAAAAAGTAGAAAAACCCTTATGTGTAATTATGCTGATAGCTGACTAAATTGTGCCCCTCTGCCACTCAAAATATCATCTGATTACCTCTCTTTTAACATGATATATTCCTCCACTGCAAAGTAAGTTTCTTTAGGCAGAGACTGTTTTCATCTCATCTATATCCTTGGGTCCTGAAATGGAGCCTTCATAGGTTCTTAGTGGATATTTGTTGGACTGGATGGATTAGATTAGAGCAGTGTAATGGGATAATATTGTGTTGTAAGAAATGTGACAAATGTAAAGAACAGTCAAAAAATCTGTGGAGACACTTAAATGAAGTGATTCACTGACCAAAGTAGAATCAAAAAAGTAAAATATACATTGCCTATGAATTTATAAATATATAATGTGACAAACAAAATCTAATAATGTAGATTTTTTAAAAAAGTTGAAAGGTGACACATAAGCAGATAAGACATTCTTGTGTTAAATTTAACATTCTTTTTCTAAGATATTATTAATATAATAAAATTATTAATATTTAAAAATTGATCTGTCATGCCCCCAGTATGTCATGTCCAATGGAAATATTGTCAACATAGGATATTAAATCGGACTTAGGTGATCTATTGCAAATAATGTTAAAGTTATATTAAAACTCAAATTCTTATGTGCCATTTTAATTATGAATGTTATCTTTGAATGTGTGTGAAACATTTTCCACAGTAAAATGGATATAAAAATAGTTTCTGCTGGCTGAAATAAGGGCTTTGTGTAAAAATGAGCTGAAGGCCTAAGACAACTCATTAGCACTGGATGTTGTACTTGTACAAAACTCTTGCTTGGGTCTGAAACAGACAGATTTTCACTTCCCTGCTTAGTGTTCTATTGGATTGGATTCCTCTTCGTGCTTTAATTTCTAGGATTGCAATGGCATGGCAGCATAGCTTACATTAACAGCTTTTTGATTCTTTGTTCATTGTTATGTGCTCTCCACAAACTTTCACAGATGTAAACTTGCCTGATATTATACTACTGTCTTCAAAAGGCAGCATACCTTATTTCCTTTTCCCATTATGTCACCTGAAGAGTGTTCCCTACTACTATCTTGTTTTCTTAATTTGTCATCTTAATCACATCAGTAAAGGATTGTAATATGAGGAAGACTTTAAGCATTTTAGCCTCAAGGTGGGAAGACAAGATTAGTAGTTTTGTTGAACATGCTCAGTTACTAGAAGAAGGATTTTATTAGAAACAACTCATTGGATTACAAGGTTACAGGTTACATTACAGATGCTTAACTTGGCAGTCATGAACTTTCCAAAAAATTTTTGAAAACTGTACTTTAATATAATTGATTTTATTTGTAATTCTACATATTTAAGAACTTTATTCTGAGAAGGAATCCATAGACATCACCAGACTGCCAAATGGGTTCATGACTAACAACAACAACAAAAAAAGCAAACCTGGGATTAGAACTTAGAGAGGAAATCTACCAAGGGAAGTCTCCATATTACAGAATAATATTGGTGAGCTATAAAGGCTTTTTTAACATTAGTTTGAGATTGGAAATGGAGGGCATAAACTGGCACCTGTTAGACATTTAATAAATGTATGTTAAATAGCATTGAGATTAACGCATCCAAACTCTATTAGAACCATAAAAACTTAGGATTTTGTAAATTATTTTAGTTGCAGTTGTTTTTGTATGTGTGTGGGGGGTGGTTAGGTGGGTGGGTTGTAGGATGAATGTTGAATTGGTTGGCATTGAGATTAATTTATAAAGCACATAATTGGATTCTGACTCATCCAGTTCTCCCTACATTGCAGTCTTTGGTATACAACTTTCTTTCTTCCATTTTACCCTAAATGGAAGAGATCATATGTTTCAAAATCATTTTATTTCAACCTTATGTGGACTATTGCATAATAAGATCTAAAATATTTGGAGGAGAACTTTGATGAAGCATATGGTGAAAGTCAACCAATTTTACCAAGGATAACATAAGTGGAGGGGGAATGATCTTAAAAAAACTGGAGTAAGCAAATATAAGCTCATGGTTTGGAAGCTCTGAGCTATGAAAGTTTCTATAGGAATAAGTGAGGAAAAATTTGAAACCGTTTCTCAAGATTTTTCATCTCTGGCATCTAAAACAGTTTTTGGTACGGAGTAAGTGCTTAATAAATGATTTTTCTTTCATTCTTAACAGTCCCATAAACAATTAAAATGGAAGGGAATTTAGAAATGATCTGGTGAATGCCTGATTTTTCAAACAAGGAACCTAAGACCAAGGGATGGGAAGGAATTGTCCCTAAGTCATATAATAAGGTAGTGACAAAATGGGCATTAATACCAAGGCACCTCAGTTTCTGGCCAATCCTTTTGCTGTTACACTTTGATTGTGAGGCACCTAAGCTTAAAATAGCTTGAAAGTCTTTAGAAGTAAAAACAAGGAACTGCTGAAATCTTTCCTACCACCTCTTATGCTAGCCTTCAATTGGAACCAAAAATTCAGAACTTTAAAAGCCATAGCTTCCTGTTGAGCTGCTTTCTTTTGGAAATTCATTGTTGTATAGGAGAAAGAATGTTGGACCAAGGGGGTCACAAGAGATCCGGGTTTGAAACTTATTCTAACCCTCACTGAATAAGGGACTTCAGGAAATAATAATGATGATAATAACAACAACAACAACAACAACAACAACAATAATGATGATGACAATAATAATAAATACTCATATCTATTATTCATGGGGATGTGGTGAGAAAAGCACTTGGTAAACCTCAAAGTACTCTATAAATAGCAGCTATTTTTGCTAGATACAATAATAGGCTGATTTTCTGTTTTGCTCTCTGACATTATATGGTTTAATTCAAGAAGTGTAACTAAAACTTCTAATTGCTCTTTTTCAGGTCACAGAGCTTAACAATGTTAAGAACGTATTACGATTGCCCAAAAGCACAAAGAAACATGCTATTGGGATTTATTTCAATGATGATACCTCCAAGACCTTTGCTTGTGACTCAGGTGTGTCTGATTTAGCAGTGCCTATAAAATATGGGGTTATTGATTTTTACCATGTAAGTGTACCATATACTTACATGCAGATTTTCTGGGCGTTTATACAGAGCTTGAGGCAGATGAGTGGTGTAAAGTGCTGCAGATGGAATGCTTGGGAACTCGTATCAACGATATCAGTCTTGGAGAGCCTGACCTCTTGGCTACTGGCGTAGAAAGAGAGCAGAGTGGTATGTAAAAGAAACACTAAATTTATGAACGTTTTGAAAGTTTCTGACCAAATGTCCACTGGGACCAGAAATAAACCATAGAAGTACTTCAGTTCAATTTTGGTAACATTCTAAGAGCAATAAAATGCTTATTTTTAAACAAAATAAATATGTAGGTGATGGTAAAATGTGAAGTGAATTGCCCAGAATCACACAGTTAGTGGTAGAGCTCAGACTAGAAACCAAGTGTCTTGAGTCCTAATCCAGTTCTCTTCCAAATAACACTACTTTTCTCCTGAGGCATAGCCCGATTTGTTACACAGCTAATAACTGGTTTATCTGGGATATTGTCTAGCTTTATGATCTTGAACAATTCGCCTTTTTGAGCCTCACTTTCTACATCTGTAAAATAGAGATAGCATGTAATTGTCTGACATGATTACTATGAGGTTCAGATGAAGTAATATACTCACTTCAATTTTCAAATTGTAAGTATTATATAATTATGAATCTTTGTTATTATAATATTACACTGTATTAACATTTTTACTAGTATCAGATATTTTATGTTATCATTTTGGATTGAATATTTTCAATGCAGAACAAGCCAGATGAAAACCTGTTATGGCTCTATTTTTCATGCTTACTTGAATCAACTATATGATCTTAAGAATAATGGAGATTTCTTTGTTATTTAATAGAAATTGTAATTATATTGGGTAGGGATGATAATTTGATTGAAGGAAACAACTGTTAGGATGGCTTATCATGAAGTTAAATGCTTCAAAATAATTTTTGATAATTTAATACTTTTTCATAAATAAATAAATGTCTCTTCTCAGAAAATTTGCAAAGGAAGCCCAACAGTAAATACAGTGCCATTAACTCCCTTGGAATGTTTCCAGACACCCTGGAGCCCTTTTGAGTTCATGGCACTAGGGTGAACTCTTTTAAAAATAATTTTGGCTGCTGTTTTATTCATGGAGTTATGATAATTATAAGTTGATTGATACAACATTGATATAATTAAGACATAAGACCAATTACTGTGCACCTGCATCTATTGTGAACACAAAGATGAAGGTGTAATTGACTTCCATTTGCCAGTAGAAATTCAGAGTTGTGATTTTTAATGGTTTTTAATGATTTTACCTGTAATTGACGCACATCATTTCTTTTGTAGTTTCCTAATGTATATTTCTTTTTATCCCAAAAAGTTGGATTTTAGACAAGTAAATAGTGTGTCTTACATTTTAACAAGCAGGCTCTATTCATGCATGATCTGTATATTAGTTAAGAAGGAGGCTTGCATTAAAAAAAATATATTTTTCCTTGAACTAAGGTTGATTATAGACATGGAGGGTGTATTTACCATCTTTTAAAAATCTTCTGTAACAAATACAGGAATGTGTTGTAATTGTTTTGAATGCCTCAAAATTCCTACAATGTCATCAATATTGAATTCCTAGGGACTTTAGACTAACATTTTGTTTTTCTCCCAGAGAGATTCAATGTGTATTTGATGCCATCTCCTAACTTAGATGTACATGGGGAATGTACCTTGCAGATAACATATGAGCATATCTGTCTTTGGGACATCCAGAATCCCAGAGTCAAGCTCATCTCTTGGCCATTAAGTGCCCTCCGGCGATATGGACGAGATCCAACTTGGTTCACATTTGAGGCAGGAAGGTGAGTTTAAGGAATTGTTTTTGATGGGCTCCATTTTGGGTTTAGACTCACTTCACTTTGTCCATAGGTCTTTGTGTAAACTCCAGTCCCAAAGAGAATTCATGAATTTCAAAGGAATGTCTGTGAACTTAGAAAGGAAAAATTCCTGTTTCTATAGCATTTAAAGTTCTCAATGAGTTCTTCTCATTATAACACCCTGCAGTATACTAAGTATCATGTTCATTTTAAAAATAAGTAAACTGACACTCTGAGATTTGTATCCTGATGATGGCTATGTAAATAGCAAACTTTTTATTATACTTTTGTTCTCAGGTGCCTGAAGTTGAAATGGTCAATGTGTAAATTAATTTTTCAAAGCATACAAAAGTCACTGCATTAGAAAATAAAACTTTAATGTTTGGTATAGTGGTTTTATGGTGGCTAAATACTTATTTCTTATACTTGTGGTTGAATATATTGCATATAAATAAGAATTAGGTTGTTGCATTTGATATCTTTGTCTTCAGATTCTGAAATGGTTTATTAATTAATGATAAACAACATGCCCAGCCATTGAACATGTTTCCAGTAGAAAGGAGCATTCTTATTAACCTCAGAGAATTTTTCATTGTTAATTTGTTTTTCTTTTTGATTTATTGGAGAAATCATGGTATCATAGAGCAGCAGACTTGGAAGACGTCTAATAATACAGAAATTGAAATGTTAGAGCTGGCAGAGAGTTTAGAACATGTATCATAGAATGTCAGAGCTGAAATAGATTTTAGAATATCAATCAATTAATCATTAAACATTGATCAAGCACATATTATGTGACAGGCACTGAACCAAGTGCTGGGGATACAAGAAGGCAAAAAACGGTCACTGCCCTCAAGGAACTTATTATCTATAATCTTATAAAACAACATGCAAACAACACATACAAAAGAAGCCACATACGAGATAAAAAAGAAAATAATTCACAGGGGGAAGATATGAGAACTAAGAGTGGTTTGGGGAAGTCTTCCAGAAAGGATGAGATTTTAGTTGGGAATTAAAGAAAGCCAGGGAGGTCAGTAGGCAGAGTGGAGGAGGGAAGGTATTCTAGGCCTGGGGCACAGCCAGAGAAAATTCTAAGAGCTAAGAGATGAAATGTCACATGATGTATAAGACATTATATATTTTATGCAATAAAACATAATTTTAAAATACATATAATAATATCTATTACAATAAATAGTCCCTTTATATGAATGAACACTACTTATTCAATATTATTTAAAAGTAATTATTTTGTTAAATTATTTATTGAAATGATGCGTATTTATATTTATTATATTAAATAATTATTGTTTATTAATGTTAATGGACTAATAAAGAGAAAAATTCATGTAATAAAATATAAAATGTCAAATGTCAAAGCAGAAAGAGGCCCTAGGACAAAGGATACCTTAATACTGCCACTTATTATGTGACCTCGGGCAAGTCACTTTTTTTTTTAAGTGAGGCAATCGGAGTTAAGTGACTTGCTCAAGGTCACACAGCTATTACAGGTCAAGTGTTTGGTCTGAGGCCAGATTTGAACTCAGGTCCTCCCAACTTTAGGGCTGGTGTTCTATCCACTGTGCCACCTAGCTGCCCCACTTTGCTTTTCCAGGCCTCATTTTCCTCATCGTAAAATGAGAGGGTTGAGTTAAATAAATTCCACCCTACATTCTAGCCCAAATGTTGTGATCCCATCAATGCAGAATGTTGGTTTATAATCAGCATCTATCTATCCAGTCCAAAATGACTAGCTAGATGTCTATTGTCCTTGACTTCCTCTCCTAAGATCCTTTTTTCCCTACACATCTATCATGTTCCTAGTCATTATGTACTCTTTGTCCATTTTCATAAATATTGGTGCTTTTCAGATTCTTTAAAATTGATTTTACATAATTAATATGAAAGGAGGCCGGATCTTGAAATAATATTAGACAAATAGAATTGTAGCTAATTATTTTTCTACTCCTGACCTAAAAAATGGGGAAGTTAGGCTATTTTATCTTTAATGTACTTTCAGCTTTGAATTTAGTTACTGCATTGGGGCTACAACTCGAGTAATATACAGGATGCATGAAAAACAGCCCACATTAAAGTACAATGTGTAAAATTATATTGCATTGCACATGGTGAGGGTTACAAAGTGTGTGTTGATAGATTACTTTTTTTCTTGCCTAGACCTGTTATTTCATCAGGGTAGAGAACACTGTGTGGAAAATCCCTTTACCAATATCTATTGGCAAATCACCTTTAACTTACAGTTTTGAAGAATTGCTTGTAAAAATGAAAGATCAAATGGCTTGCCCATTGTCATGTAGCTAATATCGGTCAGAGGCATAATTTTACTCTAGATCATTCTTATTGCAAAGCCAGTTCTCTACTGTGCCGTATTATCTCTATTTATATTTAATTTGGATAAGTTTTATATTATGATTCAAAAAATCATTTCAGTCTCTTTGAATGTAAATCTCAGGCTGGAAATTGAGTGGGGAAGTGTATTAAAATATTAGAAGGATGGATTGATTATTATATTTTTATTCACGTATTCAGTAAGCATTGAATGAGTGCTGCATTGAGTACTTACTTCCAACTCTCCAAGAAAGAGTTGCTTATACTTCAGGTAACAGTATCATTATTTTACATTTTGCCTGAACATCACATAATGTTGTGTTTTATAGCTATCATCAAGAAACTCAGGATAATAAGAGCATGCAAGCTCTTCCAAGCATGAAGGTTTCATTTCTCCTTTATTAATATAGGCATTTGCTTCCTTGGCTGTTCACAGGAAAGTGATCAAAACAAGGAAGTTCCATTTCAACTATGTAATTTTTTTCTCATCCATATAAATGATTGTAGGCAGTTAAAACTCTCTAGGAAGTTTATTATTTTAATGCATTGATATATTTTGTTTTGACACAATAGGCTCTTCTTTATTTCCCAAACATCCAAACAAATCCAGTGTTACAAAAATATTTCTCCCAAAGAGTTAGTTTACTGATTGTTAACAAAAAGGAAGGATTTGTCTTGAAGCATTGATGGTATAATACAACATTGACTATTGATAATGTGTTTTGCCAGAGTTTATTGCCTCTTCAAGCTGACTTTCTTTACACCATTGTAAGTCATTATGTATATATATTCTTTTGCCTCTTCTTTGTTCACTCTAATTCAGAGGTGTTAAACATGGACCTGCTACAATCCTGAATGCAGCCAGACATATCAGACTAAAATGTAATTGGAAAATGTTTAACAAAATAAATAAAAATGTAATAGAACATGGATAATGTTAACATGTGGTTTTCTAAGTCAATATGTAGCTCCCAAGGATCTTTATATAAAACTTAGTGTCCTTGTTTCTACTTGTGTTTGATACTATTGCTTTAATACACTGTGTAAGTTTTGTTATGTTTCTGTGAGTTATTGTATTCATCATTCCTTATTACACAGTAATAATTTGTTGAATTCATATACCATAGTTTACTCAACCACTCCCCAGTTATTATACATATTTATAGCTTTTGATATCGTGAATAATGCTGACATGAACATTTTGATACATGTGGATTTTTTCTTTCACAGCTTGAGGTAGTGGAAACTCTGGGTTAAAGGTTATGAAAAAATTAGTAACTTTTCTTATGTGGTTGCAAATTGTTTTCCAGAAGGGTTAGTCCAATTCCAAAAGCATGAGCAATGCACTAGCATGTCTGTCATCCAACGATGATTTGCAGAAAGATTTAAAAGCTGATTTTTCACCTGACCCTCAGAATTCATGACAACATTCTTTCCAAAGCACGGGCAATTCTCCTTTCATGCACTTTTAGTGGATTCTTTAGATACATTTCTAGAGCAGCTTAAAAACTGTTAAAGCTGGAGTTTGATATAAATGGTTATTATCTTTAGTCCCATTCCTTCACAACCATACATTCATGTCAACAGATGAAGCAATATAGAAGTGGCAGACAAACAAATAAGCAAAACAAACAAACAAACAAAAACCAATAAAAAACCCTGAACTTGCAGTCAGAAGACTTGAATTTGGATTCTATCTTTGTCACTAAACAGTTGTTTGAATGTGGATAAGTCCTTTAGCATCACAGGATCAATAATATTGAGGAAATTGAAGGCCAAAGACATTGACTTGCCCAATATTATGCTAGTATCTTTCTGAGCCTCAATTTTTTTGTCAGTTAAAAGGGAATAGTAGTTTCACTCCATATATCTTAAAAGGATTTTTTTTTCAGGAGAAGGGCTGCAGCAATATAACTTGTTATCATATTACTAATATTATAATCATCTCATCCTCATCTTTTAAAATTAATTTCATATAGAAATATTCCTAGAACAAATCATTATCCTGCTTTTTATATTTAGTACTCTCCAGACTATTGCACAAGTTGAAAAATAGCCATTTTTTGGTAACTGAGTAAAAGTACTGGAGTAAGCATATCTTCTGTGAGCTCAATAAAAAACAACTTTGGGACAACTCTAGTAGCAGACAGGATGACAGAGAAAATGTGTCTTAGTTTGTTTACCAATGGTTTTAATTTCTTCTTTGGGGTGTCTATATTTTGAAAGCTTTGTACTCTATATGGTATATAGATTATAAGTATTCAACATAATGATATTCTTACATTCTTTAAAACAATCTTAAATTTTTACAGATTAATGTTCTGTCCAGAAGGTGGTAGGTGACTGTTCTGCTTGTTATGATGTTCTGATTCTAGTACTTTATTTGCTGACTTCTCAAGGAGAGTTTAGGATCTCTATTTGGAGTTGTAGGGATTTATCATCTCAGATGATGAAGGCAAGTTTCTGGCCCATAATTCCTGGTCCCCTGATCATGTCTTTTTAGTTATTTGGTGGATGTTGAATTTACCACCTGGAGTGCTATGTTGCCCATTTTTTTTACCTTTCTCTTGCAAAATATGAATTGATCAATAAGTCTAGGATTATAAGCATGATTTTTCTGTAATTTTTTGTGC